TTGAATTTAGTAAAATTCTTTTTTTTGCAGGAGAATAATTGAAGTCAACTCAAACCTCTGAAACCAAAAGAAGTATTTCCTTTCTACTATAACACATGGGAGATCCAGACTGTAGTCTTCTTGATGCCTACGTTAAGGGTCAACGGATGTAGAGACAACTGCTGACCTCACATCTCCTGAAGCAGACTTTCAATCAGTGGCTTGTCAGAGTTAATCATATGGTGAGCTTACGTAAAATATTCATGCTCCACCCCTCCCACACCCAAACCTGCAGGGATATATCAAAATCTCAGCAAGAAGGTCTACATTAGGTTAAGCTCTCCTGGTTATTCCAATCAGCGCCCTCCTCTGCCTGAGTTAGGAGGCACAGCCCTTATGTACCTGAGTACGTCCCTGAAACTCAAAACACATTAGATGGGAATGGGAGAACTGAGCAACAGTGGTCTTTACAGAGTAAACAGGCAAAAGAAATACCAGGGGCGTGAATTCAGATTGGGAAATGGTGTATAGAAAGGCAAGTAGATAGTAGAGCACCAAAAATGAATTTGCTATGACACTTTTCCCCCTACGGCTTTGGTAATGAAAACTGCTCATTTGTCACTGAAAATTATATAGGGTATTATGATAAGCATGTGATATTATTACATTAAAATATAAGACATAAATACAATAATTAATGAATCCTAAAAAACAGAATTTGTATTCTAATGCATCCATTTAAAGTGTTTCACAAAAATTAACACTAACAAATTGCAATGACCCCAGTATTTTGATGATTATTAAAGTGAATAATTACATAATACAGAATTATTTAGGAACCGAGCATTTCACTTCTTTCCTTTACCATGTTGTCTTTCATTTCTTATTTCAGTCCCTCTCAACAACTTTATCTATTTTTGTTTAATTTTACTCACACCTTGTTCTTTCTAAAAGAAACATTATAGTAAATATGTATTTTGTTAATGTTTATTATTTCTTTGGTAATACATCAGAATCATGCCTGCAATTTGTTTAGTTTAATATAGCACTTCAGGTGGTTCCTTGCATAGGCAGACATTTAATTAAGAGTCTATAGGTTCTTTATTCATTTCCATGAAAGCACATCCTTCAGTTTTAACATAAATAGAAAATATATTTGATGATACAGTTCTTTACTAACATCAAGGTACTACATCAAACTCTCCTAAGTAACCTATAAACTACAGAAAGAATTACATCTATCTCCCTTATAACACTGCATCTAGAAAGACATTCTGGTCAAAAAGAGTCCAGCCTACATAATTCTGTTTTGGCAAACCCATCTGACCTTGCCAGTTCATGCTTAATGATTTGGCAAGACAATAATCCAAAAACTAAATAGATGAAAATGTGTATATATACTTCTTCATTTTCTTGATTCTTACAAAAAAAAGACTATCAAATTTCTCAATACTATGAGAAAAAGAAAATCACTCTAAAATTACACATTTTTTTTTCTGTATGTTTATTTACCTTTTTTTTTTT